TATTGGGGGCGGAGGTGGCGCATACAGCGACGCTGTTAGGCCCAGTGCGCCTATCAGCAACAGCAGCTTCTGCGCGTACCAACAGGTTTCATGTTATTACCATTGGACAAACTTCAGTATCGGTAACAATCCCGTCCCAACATTAAAATTTATATGCCAGTTTTTCACGTGATGTCGTGCGATGAATGAATCTGAGTTTACCAAATGCCTGCTTTGTTATTCTGCATGCGATGTTGGCGTGTACTTATCTCAAATACAAATATATTTTTGCGCAACTAATCAAATTGCATGCGTAACGAAATATATTTCATTAATTTGTTAAAAATAAATTAGATGAAAGATTTTTGTGCAGATTTGTATATATTAAATTTATCTGTGAAATAAGCCGTCTTTTATACAAATTATAGTAGCTTAAGAGTTCGATTTGAACTTTATTTAAATATGTAATGCGAAACCAAAATTAATTTATCCTGATAACTTTTCACTTTAAGAATCTCTAGTATAAAATATAATTTAAATCTGCTGAATAATGCTGTCGATAATACACAGTCTAACTGTAATAAATTCTATTTCATTATTTTAAGCAATGCATTCACACAAATTTTAATCTGTATCTAAAAAGTTCGGAAAATTTTAGAATCTTCTCAGTTATTTTAAAAAAAATTGCAGTGGTGGAACTTACCAGGCACATGGTCGTGGAGTTCAGACGTTTCTGCTGTGCGGAACAAGTGACAAACGTCTTCTTAACAGCACCTTATATACGCGAACATTTTGTGACGTAGCAGCGACAGGGTTGATTTCTAAATACCAAGACGAGACCCCACGCGTTTACAAAATAATGTGGTTATAAATATTATTTTCACATGCTTGGCAGACTCAAGGTTTCTTTTCGTAAGCCTGGATTTCTAGGGTCTTGAGTTCGAACCTCATAGAGAATATCAATTTTTTTTAACATATTCCGTTATTACTATCAGTTTAAGTACAACGAAAGATATTTGTATTTTATACTTAACAGATTTCAAAAATAAGTCTTGAAGCTATTTTTGTTTTGTTATTAATATATACTCTAAAAAAAAATAGGACTATTTGTCGGTGAATGTAAATGTGAGGATCTTTGTTTACTGATTCTCGTACGGGCATTCCCTTTGGAGGGCCTGTGGAAAATCGTGAAGTATATAATTTAAGCAGTCGGCACTTGTATTTTGACAAGACACGGACTATGAAGAAACGAATGCCCGGAGTAAAAATCTTCAAAATCCACGAAAAACCATTAAAAATACAGAATTTAATAATAACCAGAATTGTACTTAGTCTTTTCATATTGCCAGTAATAACTTTTTTTTTTTACAGATTTTAGACACAAATTACCTAAAGTACACACCCACCGGAAATTTTATTAGTTCGGTCAAATCTCATGGTTAAGCAGAGATAATTGGATCAATTGATGGGCGTGGATAGGATGACAATATTAAAATAGATGCTGATAAAATTCAACTGACTCAGGATGAGTCCGTGTGAAGAGTTATTATTAACATGGTAAAAGAATTTCGAATTTCCGTGAAAGGTATGAGAATTTTTATGATAAGTTATTATTAACATGGTAAAAGAATTTAGAATTTCCGTGAAAGATATGAGAATTTTTTGATCAACTGAGAAAATACCAACTTTTGAAAGTCATACCGCAGTTCCCTGATATGAAAATGTGTAATATTAATAAAGCGAGGATATTTTCTTGTTATATAAGTGCTTAAGTTTTTAGGGCCACCCTGTTTGAGGCTGTGTTTACTGCATACCGTAACGAAATCTGGATGAGGGGAGAAAGTTCATTTGTTTGCACTTTGGACTTCGCGTGAAGTTCTGTTTTACTTCAACACTTTGTACGTTATAAAGCGATGCTTTTCCCACTGTTTGGAGAAATATTTGGACATTAATTAACGAAATTTAAAACTAATAGACTATTAAATCAGTAACAGTATAGTCAGTATAGTCTCTTCAGCTTGATATCTCTCATTTTTCAATTTCTTATCGCGGTTGTTAATTAACAATTAAAATTTTAAGACAAATTCCTAGGTCTTTCGACTGGTCGTGTTCCTCCAGGCTTTCTTACAGGATTTAGGTCGGAAGAGACCTCTCGGAAGACCTGGGTGTTGATCGAGATAATACTAAAATGGATCGTAGGTAAATATTTTTGTAGACGTGGACTGGATTTATCTGACTCAGCAATGGGCCTTTGTGTTATTGATGGTTATGTATCTTATGTTTTAACGTGGCATTGTATATGTTACGAAAATATTTTACAGAAATTATAAATTTATTTTTGTTGAGTATTTATAAAATGAAACGTCCAATAGACAATCTACCAGTTATTTCCAAACAGCTGAAAATATTGTGTGTGTGTGTGTGATCAAACACGAAGATTTCTAAATTCTCTGGCACTGAATATAAGTGAAAGTGTGTTTATTTTTGGTGCATTGCTACAAGCTAATCTAGAAGCAAAGCTACGTAAGTCTGAAGAGTAACAGAGTGTTTGAAAATCATCAGTGTGTGCTTGCAAGAGTGAGATAAGATGCAATAGAGTTAAATTTTACTTAACGAGGGTTTGAAACGGTCTGTTGCAGGGGAATACTGCAACCACGTGGAGTTTTTTTTTTTAAGGTAACCGTGTGAAACATTGGAGTAGAAAGACTTTATTCTCTATGTTAACCCATTGGAGGAAAAAAAAAATACAGACCGCGAGATCTGCTCTTCTGTCTCGGAACAGACAGAAGACGTTTCGCTGTTGTGGAATTTCAATGCCAGCAGCCGAAGATTTGCATCGCATTTTCTCTTCAGTCAAAAAGATCTCTCTCTGTTCGACTCCCCCCCCCCTCACCAAGTTACACGCATGTAATTTATTTCGGGTCTTTAGTTTCAGTGGCGGATACGCAATTGAAGAACTGTTCACATGCATTAATAACTCCTGATAGTATTTTAGCTAGTCAAAAACTTATACGCCTTTATGAACCCCGATGGTTCATTAACATGCTCACAAACGCACACCAGTTCATATTGCTACTCATAAAAGACATAGTCCACACAGTGTCACCGTAGCCACTTAATATCCATTTTAATATTATCCTATCATCTACAGTTAGATTTTTCGAGTGATCGCTTCCCTGTATACTTCCCAACCAAAATGTTGTGAACATTTCTTATTTCTTATTCAGTAATGCCTTCGCGGTTAATCATTCGTGTGTGAATGTCGAGATACAGACCGATATTTTGAGACCTTCTGTCTTCATCACCAGGATATACATAACCTGATGATGGACTGCTGAGCGCTTTTGAAAACTTTATTGCTTACACGTGGTCGAGTTAAAGTTTCATCTGTAGGCAGCTTGTTTATCTGTTATGATTCAGGCCGTGTATAATTAAAGTAAGTTAACCAATGAAAGACATCTGGAATGCCGGCAATGATGCTACAGAGCGTCCACTGATAAAGTTCAACGTTTTATTTTTTTTAGTGTTCTGTCTGACGACAGGTCCATATGACCAGGATCCTTCCATCCTTTTCTCGGACTGGGATCTGTTCATATACGTTCTTGGCAGATGATCCAGCAGTGGTTTGCCATTGCCTTCTTCTGTGTGTGACTGGAGTAATTGTTGGGATGCCACGGAGAAACCGGGGAAGCCCCCGTAGGAAAACTCCGTGTTGCCTAGACCACGGCCTTGCCCAACACAAGTTATAAATTCGGGCACCGCCGGGAATCGAACCCGAGACCCCAGGATTACAAGGCCAGCGTTCTAACCGCTAGACCACCGTACTCGATGCAAAAGTGGTTTTAGTTGTTCTCGGGTACTGACTGCAGTTTCTATTTTCCCGCCACTGACGGGGAAGGGTTATATGATTATTCTCTTGGAGAAGACGGGATATTTTACGAAGCTTCACTGCAGGAGGTGGTAGGACTGAATGGTACTACGACTAGCTTCTCTCTCCTGTTTTCTTCAATACGAGGTAAAGGTAATAAAGAGGTTTCATTTGGAAAGAGAAAAAGAGCATAAGAGACGGCACAGAGATGTCGAAACACGTACAGCCCGAGAGGGAATTTCTCTGATGCCGTCAGTCATATTTCGTAAGCTTCTATAAAATGTGAGTTAGGAGACAGAATCGGATTGTCGAATATGAGTTTGCAATCCGCTTAAGGACTTGTTACAACCCTAGGACTTGGAAAAAATAGTGCACACATTAACAAAATATTCGTACGTGTGCAGTTGACTAGTTTGCAATTCCGTGTCGACTTGTATGTAGATACCGACTTATCGGAAGTACATGCTGCCTCCATCTTCAACCCTAAAAATAAAAATATCTACCACCATAACTAGATCCATGGGAACGTGCAAAAATAGTCAAATTAGAAAGGTGGCTATGTTCTTGGTTAATGAGCCTTGTAGTCTGGTAGGAGTTTACCGACGTTTCGGAGATGTTTCAAACCATTGTCAAGGCCGTGATGACGGAGGCAGTGAGCACATCTGAATCATCGGTAAATTTCTACCAGACTACAAGGTGAAATAACCCTGAAAACAGCCATCTTTGTACTCGTCGTTGTGAAAACCTGAGATCTCACTTAAACGTCGTTATTAATTGACGTTTCGACAAACAACAGCTGTCACAATTGTAAATAGGCGTGAAAATACATAAATTTGTATATTTGCCAGAATGTGGTTAATAAGAGATAGAATTCAAAAGTTAAGACTTCTTTAATAATTTACTTCTCCTTTTGAAATATAACCAGTACTTTAGAGATATATATTTTTAAAGAGGGGGGAGGGGTAACCTTTTCGTTGATCTGTCATCAACAGCCTTTTCTCAAATTTCTCTTCTTTGTCT